GGTCAGCTTGAGTCATAATTATTATCATTGATGTTCATTATCACCCTGGAGGCGTCGCCACCGCAGCCCCCAGGGACCTGCCGCCCGGCTCCGCGCCGCCGCACGCCCAGGCCCATTTCCACTATCAATGCTTATCATAATGATCATCATTATCATCATCACTGTGATTATGTCATAAGCATTATTATTATCATTATTATGATTATGATTATCATTGATGATTTTTTTATTATCAAACAACAGAATTGATTATACGCACAGAGTTAGACACGAATAATCGTCCTATTCTTCTAGATCATCTCAGATGAATGAAAGTCCTTCTGGCACCGAGGACTTTCAGCGTCAGAAGAGGCGATGGAATTAGGATAGGAAGGAGGGAAGAGAAGCTGCTCAGTGGGCGCGTCGGCCGGACAGCCTCCTCATTATGGCGGCCTCCGGCATGCTCACGTCCTCAGCGAGCCCTACCAGTAGCAAGGGCATGTTTTCAGCCCTCGGCCACAAGAATTGAACGCCATATGTGCGCTCAATCCATGCGGCCATGCTGCCTTCGGGGCCGAGCACCAGGATGTGCTCCTCGCGCCTGATGTGGAGCGGCACGAGGACGTGCTCGGGGCGGAGCTTGAGGTTCGCCATGAGCTCGAGCTCGGCGACGGCGGCCCGGGTGTTTTCCCTGAGGCCCGTCACCAGGATCTGGGTGCCGGGCTTGTTCCGCTCAGGGAGCTGGATCGTCTCCCCATGCCTCTGGGCGACATGACGAATTCGGAATCCCCCTTTGCCGATGGCCTTGCCGATCCGCCCGGGCTCGACGCAGACCGGAACCGTCTCCTTCAGCTCCTCTCGGCAACGCCGCTCCTCGGCGAATTCTTCATTACGGCGGCGCCTCTCTGCTACCTGGAGTTGTATGGAGGCCACGGTTTTTCGGCTGCGCCCAAAGGGTGCTTGCGGGAGTGGGTGCGGAGCTTAACCCCGAACTTCTGGACCTTGGAGGCGTGGCATCCGTCTTTTCCTATGGCGATGCCGATGTCTTCGGGAAGGATCTCCACCGGGAGGACCACGCGCTGTTGGAGCACGTCCTGCTGGACGAGCTCCTCCAACTCCTTGATGGCCCCGCGCACATTGGCGGACAGGCCAGATACGACGATGGGCGATTCCCTGTCCTTGGGAACGTTAATCCGGACGGCGCCCTTGCCGATGGCCTTGCCGTAGTGCGCTGGCGCGATGTCATGGGAAGCGCTTTCAGAGCTGCGGACCTGTCCTTCGATGTCCGCGAGCTTTTTGAGCATCAGCGCACGGTCCTTTTCCTTGCCGATTAAGGCACAGGATTCATCAACGGCATCTTCAGCCAAATCCCGGGAGCCTGCTTGGTCTTCAGGAGTGGCTGCAGGTCTCCAAGTATTTGCAAAGGCATGCGCAGGAGCCTGTTGCCGCAAATGCAGGCTTCCATGTGCTGAATAAATGCCTGAGCGGCCTCTTGCTTGCCCTTGACGAGGAAGGGCGCCACGAGGTTGCCGGCGTGGGGCCTGACGAGCTTCAAGCCGAAATTCTCCGCGGCCTTGCCAGCCTGGTGGAGGAATCGCCGGCGGTCCTCCTAAGCTACATACATGGGCAGGCTAACGCCAGCGTTAGCCTGCTTGGGGAGGGTCTGGCCGGATGGTTTTTTCACAACCGGCTTCGGTCGGTAAGACATGGGTTCTTCGATAGTGAATCCGAAGAGCTCGGCAATCTCGGCGGCAAAGTTTGCGTCATAAGTAGTGTTTAGGTTCAGAGAGGCGGTCACGGGCGCCTCTTGTTGCACTGTAGTTGGTGGGAGTCTGTCATTTCCATTTATCTTGGGACCCTCCTCCTTAGATGACTAAGGAGGATTTGTTTTTTTTCTTCTTCTCTCTTTCATGCATTTCTTCTGTCACCTTTTCCAATTCTGATGGGGAAGGAAGGTCAAATAACCCTTCTGTTGCTGGCTGTGATGGGGAAGAAGGAAGGTCAAATAACCCTTCTATTGCTGGCTGTGATGGGGAAGAAGGAAGGTCAAATGACCCTTCTATTGCTGGCTGTGATGGGAAGAAGGTCAAACCCTTCTATTGCTGCTGTGATGGGGAAGAAGGAAGGTCAAATGACCCTTCTATTGCTGACTGTGATGGGGAAGAAGGAAGGTCAAATGACCCTTCTATTGCTGGCTGTGATGGGGAAGAAGGAAGGTCAAATGACCCTTCTATTGCTGACTGTGATGGGGAAGAAGGAAGGTCAAATGACCCTTCTATTGCTGGCTGTGATGCGGGGCTGGCTGTGGCCGAGGCGCGTCGTCGGATGCCGAGGACGACGAGCAAGGCGACGATGAATGAGGCGGCGACTGCGACGACCGCTGTCAGTGCCATCGGCGTCTTTTGCTCCTTGATGCTCTCAGCGAGTGCCCGGAGGTTCTGTAGTGCCTCCGCATGGCACTCGTGCTGCCGCCGAAGGTCGAGTCGCGGGGTGGGCCACGGCTGCTTCTCCCTCCGCGGGCACTTGATGGAGGGACCGGCGCCGAGGATCAAGCGGGGGATGCGGCCGGACAGGTCTCTTATTTCCGCGACCTGCTTGGCCAGTGTTAAATAATTAATTGACAGTCTTTAGATCTGGGCAGATTGGGCACTTCCCGGCGAGCAACCGGTTCACGCTTGCTCACTCACACATCAAAGGGCCGAGTCAAGCTTCACTTTACCCAAGGCTAAGGGGATATTCCCTTAGCCTTGACTATACGCCTTTATTTGTCGTTTTAGCGGCTGGTGTCCAGCAGCTTGTCGGTGTTTCCCCTCAAAACCCATTGCTTTCGATATCCGTCTTTCACATATTTATTTCGTTATTTTTGGTAATGAAATAATTGTAAACATTTGGAAATATAATGGCGTATGAACTAATGTCATATGTTCTTTTCCAAATAACATATCAAAAGTTTACTATTATCTAAATAGCGGATCCAGGTGATATAAGGCGAAGTGAGAGAGAGAGTAGCTGCTTAGGATAATGCAGAGCCATATGTTAATATACATCCTTCATATATGAATAAATGATATTTCCGTATGACGATTATTCAATATGAATAAGTTCCAACAATGTTCAATTTTTATATATAGAAAATATGATAAGGAATTGAAATAAAACGATGTGATAAAATTTCTTGATAATTTTCGAAATAATATACGATAATTTATTTCTTAAGTCAGGTTTCCAATATATCCATCAAATTAACAAGTAAACAGGAATAAAAACAATCCCTATTTCTCTCTCTCTCCATGTATACGTCAGTCATTATTGCACTTCGCCTGATCTCCGTACTTTCCCACCTCCTCACATTCGAGCTCCCCTAACTATGCCCTAGTTGTTTGAAGGCGGGCCTCCTTTCAGGGCAAGAAGGCGTCACCGCTTTTGTTGCTGGCTGTACTTGAGAAAGATGATTTTAATGTCTTCCAGTGTGATTATATATACGTATGCATGTATGTGTATGTATGTGTGTGTACATGTATGCACACGAACACATACATACATTTATATATATATATATATATATATATATATATATATATATATATATATATATATATAATGTGTGTGTGTGTGTGTGTGTGCATATATATATATATATATATATATATATATATATATATATATATATATATATATATATATATATATATTCACACACATATACACATAAATGCATGTGTGTATGTGTGGGATAATAAGCCTTCTGTGAAAAAGACCTCACAAACTTAATAATAAGGCCAATTATAGCCAAGGCCCTGGCGTATCATACCTTTGGAAAACCCACTGAAGTGAACTAATTATATTAGAGCAGATTTTACCTGAGAGTCTTTGATGGTATACGCTAATATTCATTTTACTAATTCGAGAATGACTAATCTGAGGACAGAGGAACTATTCATATGTAGGTAAGAGTATTAATGCATTTCATTTCTTACTTGTTATAATACCAATGACTTGGAAAGGTATATACTTATTCATTATTTATAGATTATTTTCATGTATCAAAATACACATTTCTTGTCTTTTGGGTGAAATGGGTTAATAATAAAGCAGACGTGCATGCCCCGTGATAGCATCACAGATTGTTTAGTTAAAGTTAGGCAATTGACATTTCTATAGTTCCAATTTTCTATTTTTTTTTTACTGAAATGCCTGTTTGCTAAATGAATCGCTGATAAGGAAACTAATTCTAGATAAAACGAATGTATCTGATATTGATTTGATGGAATATATGTGTCACATGTTTAGACTGAAAGAAAATCAACGCTCAATACATATATAACTTGGAACATACCTTTAACAACCATCATGTTATTATATTTTTGAATTTCATATTTTTGTCATGTGTTACCATCTTTAAGACCTTGCTTCTCTATCACATATCATTTCCTTATTAATTACAAGATTGTTCATGTTTGCAGTGTACTTTATTATTCCATACAAATACTCTCAAATTCTATGGTCATTATGACTTATATGTTCAGGTGTATAATCTAGAATATACTGTATATAGCTGTTCTTCCTCTGCGAAGCTACCAAACTGGTCTGGAACTGTTTTCTTGTAAACTAGTTTGCCATTTATAAATGGTGGCAGCGGTGGGGTTTCAGAATTTCAGTTATGCTTCATGTGTTGCTATTTTTCTATCTAATTTTTTTAAGTAAAGTTCTTTTTACACTCACCAATGCTGACTTGATAGTATGAGGAGGAAAATCCGTCACTCACTAACTCGTGTGTGAAATCAAGCACATGTATGTTTACAATCTTGAGAGAATAGATATGTGGTTGATGTATATGCATCAGTGCATTTATGTTCCCTATCATGTTCATTATATATGTAACTGTATATAATATACTTATAAGTTTATTTATTTGATATACATATATATATGGGAATGTGTAGATGTGTACTTATGTACTCAGAAATTTAGACTTGTATACTCAGTAATTATATTGGATATAAGGATTTGAATTATACATATTTTCAAAACTTAGCAGTAGGTCAACATTTATTGATATTACATGGCATTATGAAACATGAAAATAGCAAAATTTACAATGAACTCGTGCAAGTTATGCACAAGGTGGCCCCACATCTAAGTGAATGTAGGGGACACATCTGTAGAGGGACATGAATACATAGCTGTGGGTGATGCGGTCAGGAGACTGTTTCATCTCTGCCCCAACTTTGACTTCGGGATGATTTCAGCACTTATAGCTGAGAGCTGAAAGAAACTAGCTGAGTAGGAACCAGGAGCGTAAATGCAAAACCAGCACTGTACCACAGAGCTATGCCACCTCTTAAAAATATACATGAAAAAAAAACAGAACGAGCACTCATACTCACAATCATATATATAGATATAAACACCTGGACAAATATCACACATGCACAAGACATGCAGTTGGTCAGATTATAAGATCCGCGCTTATTCCTCGGCGCCACTGAAGTTGACGAAGCAGTTCATCCCAAAGTTGTCTGGGTCGAGGATGGCGATGAAGGCAGAGATCGTGGCCGCGATGCCGCCCACAACTCCGACGCAGATGATTTCGATGAGATAGACACGTTCCCATAAGGGCAGAGTTCTGGTATGGGAAGGTTATGGAGGACATGAGTCTCACAGATGTATTGTATCTCTTTTGAGTTTCATTGTAGAGACTAAATCAGAATCATACTGGAGTCCATAGGATGGTGTGGGTACAGCAAGTTGGTGGGGAAATTCTAGGCGTCCCTAATGGCCTTGTACCATATAAAAAGGCATATTCAAGGAAGACAAAAATCTATCCTCTTGAATCTCAAGAAAAATGAAACACGTGGTCACGAGACTGTTTGTTTCATTAACAGAGGCAGTGTTATGATAAGGAAATATCTAAACCTCGAGGGATTTAGAAGAGGATGTTGACATGATACGAAGAGTCATAATCAGGGAAGTTATGAAGGTTTGTTAAACCAATATAAATATAAATGATTAAGGAATTTACGCTTTGGAAGACTACATTGGAAAAATATAGGGTTGCAGTTATGGTCACGTGATTCCCCAGTAGCTTCAGAAGCAAAATCATACAAATTTCTTTCTCCTTTCCCTCCCCCCTCCCTCCCTCTCACCGCCCCCTTCCTCCCACGGTCATCCTCTCCCTTTACTTGCCTTTTGCGATCTCCTTTCCATGTTGAATGTGACCTGCGTCTGCTTTATCATTAAAAAAAGGAAGGAGAGGATGGCTGGGGGAGGAAGGCGTAGGCGATAGGGAGGAAAGGGGGGGAAGGAGGGATGGAAAGGAATTCGCAATAGGCAGGAAGAGGGAGAGGATGACTGTGGAAGGAAGGGGGAGGTGAGAAGGAGGAAAGGGAGGATATAGATATAGAATATGTGCATAGTAAGCTAGGATATGTCATGACAAACATAACTGTTAGCGTCGGAATTTGCCTAATAACAGAGAACATGGCTTTCCAGATTCTTCATTCTCTTTGCCCTTGGCGCCCTCAGCCTTGTCACTACTTTAAGCCATATAAAGTTATATGCTTTACAATTATAAAAAGTAAGCAAACGGACAATTATGTACACTATAATTTGTGAAAGGGCCAGCGAATGGCAGGTAGGTTTATACGAAAAGATGTCTTTTCTGAGCATATTTTTAAACAACACAATATATCTTTGCACTGAAACACTGATTTGACGTGAATATGCAAGAGATGACTATGTTTATATAGATTAAAGAGATGATGAGGAATCATTCAAGGCAACAGACATAAATCATTTGAATTTTAGAGGCATTATACAATACTCTGTTTTTACTTTCTGTTGTTGAAAATGTGATTTATATTTTACGTCCTGATTTAATGTGAGCTAAAATGCACGTTCAAATTACAATACAATTTCAACTTTTATATCATTTATATATTACTGATATAGCATAATTTGTAAGTAAATTTTACGTTGCTGATGTATTACCACGTGCTAATTACCAAATTCAAATATTTTACTATTCAAATTACAATAAAATTCCGTCTGTTCGAAGCCGAGTTTATGGCACTAACGTATCATTACTTTACGCATTTCCAAATTTTACTCTTCTACTCGTCTCCACATTTGACAATTTCCCTACGAGGCAACGCTTCAAAATCCCGCTCACCTTTCGGGCCACCGAGGGTCCTTCTGGTCCATGAGTTTCATGTACATAAGAGGAGGGAAGATGAAGGTGTTCATGGTGATGCAGGACCCGCCGATGAGGTTGAGGATGAGGCCGAAGTCGGGGACGGCGAGGCAGATCAGCATCTGAACCACTACCATGCTTGAGCGAACGAGCACGCGCTTGATGCCGAACTCTGGTGGGCGGAGAGGGAGCTCGGGTTAAAACGGGGGTTGAGGAGTGGGTGTCGCGTGTGGATGTGGGGTGCGGATGGCGATGCTTTTGTCTGTGAGGGGATATGTACAATCTTTCTTTCTTTCTCTTTTTTTTTTTTCTCTCTCTCTTTTTCTTTGTCTCGGTCTGTCTGTCTGCCATTGTCTGTCTCTCTGTCTCTGGTCGAGATAGAGTGCAAAAAAGGAGATAAAACAGTAACCAAAAACAAGCTAAAAAGGAAAAATAAGCTCGCCATCTCGCTATTCGGAAAAGGAATACAAAACAGCACACCACCAATAACACCAAAGAGGAAAACCTCCGCCAACTCACTATTCGGAATATTGAAGATCTCCTCGACGCTCTGCACGACGGGGTTGATGCTGATGACGTAGGTACTGACGAGGTTGATGATTTCCAAGCTGATGGCGATCTGGACGACGACCCCTTCCGTGACCGAGAGGAGGATGTTGCTCTCGACGTCATTGCCGAGAATGGCGTAGCCGGAGATCGCGACGGGCAGGTAGAGGGAGAGGATGACTGTGGGAGGAAGGGGGGGTGAGAGGGAGGGAGGGATGGGTTGGGAGTGTGGGAGATACGGAACAGGGTGGGAGGAAGGAAGGAAGATCATAACAGGCAGGTAAAGGGAAAAGATGGCTGTGGGAGTAAGGGCGGATGAGGTGGTGTGTTGTGGCGTTTGGATTTGAGGGATGGGATGGGAGGTTGGAAGGAGGGAGGAAAGTGTGTGTGTGTGTGTGTGTGTGTGTTTGTGTCTGAGTGCGTGTGTGTGTGTGAGTGTGTGTGTGTCTGAGTGTGTGTGTCTGAGTGTGTGTGTCTGAGTGTGTGTGTGAGTGTGTGAGTGTGTGTGTGTGTGTGTGTGTCTGAGTGTTCGTCTGTGTGTGTGCGCGCGCGCGTGTATGTTATAATATAACAAGATAGCTGAGTATAGTGCTAAACAAAAGACAAAACAGCAATTACACTTGAAGTATGGACAAGTTGGACCAATGGAAGGGAGTTTTAGAATGGAGAAATTGGATCAGGGTTTGACGTAAAACAAGAAAAGAATCTGGACACCTTATAATTCAACCTCAAAGTCCTCAGTTAGAGCAATGTAATTGAAATTGACTTAAATCCTAACATCCTTGTCTCCATCCTCGATGCCTTCAATAGGAACCAATCAAATTTCCTTGTCAGCGTTTTCTGTAGAAATTATATACCGACCGCTTTGTTATAATTCCGCAAAGATTTATACATGGACCTACCCATACACAGAAGTGAAGGGTTATATATGTACCTGATACATTTACCTATCAATCCATATGATATATATATGTATAGATCTTTAGTTATGTGCATGTCTAGAAGTATGAATATTCAATTTCGACAAACCGGCCAATTTGCCTCAGTGGTTCCAGTGCACTCGAGAAAAACAAACCCCTTTCTGTGGCAGGTAATATATTGACTTCATCTGCTAGTATTTTCAGTAGAAGCGAGACAAGCCACCCCCTCAATGCCTTTACTAGAAGCAAGAGGACTCTCCCCCCCCCCCCAATACCTACAGTAAAAAATGAGAGGAATGTCCTCCATAATTTCATTGGAAGAATCTATTGATTTCAGCTCAATGCCCTCTGCAGAAACGAGAGACTTAATATCCCCAGTAAAAACAATAGAATACCAATGGAATCCAAACATGCAATCAATATCATCGGTATAAAGTTTTTTTTTTTATTATATCCTCAAATCAGTTTAAATGCAGTATTGGTATATTCGTATAGAAGATATTCTAGTATATTTACACAAAATCACTTGCTTTACCACCGGTTGCTGTGTTTGACGCGGATCTGTTTTTCTAGCGCACTGCTAAAATGGTGCGCGTGCGCGCGTGACTCTACCCTGATTACTTGAAATCCTTTAGTGCCCTTCTCCTCGGCGACAAGAGCCCCCTCCCGACCCACCTGCGAAGCCGACGAGGGCGCTCTTCCAAAACTGCGACCGATCTTTCATGTCGTTCTGGACCGTCGGGAAGACAGCCGACCCCCCGAAGGCGAAGAGGATGGCGCCGAAGCCGAGGGAAAAGGATCCTATGGTCGGGTTAGGATACCAGGGGTCAGGTAAGGACGGCTTCTCGATGAAAACCTGTACGATGATGACCACTACAGCTACCACGGTCGATACCACTGCCATGATAGAAGCTTGCCTGCGGTGGAGGTGGTGGATGAGAGGTGGATTCGGATGAGTGGATGGGGGGTCAAGAGTGGGTTCGGATGAGTGGATGGCTGAACAAAGGTGGATTTGGGTGTGCGGATTGGTGAACGGAGGTGGATTAAGGTGTGTGGATGGGTGATCGGAGGTGGAAGTGGTTGTGCATGGTTTGGATGGATGACGAGAAAGTGGATCTGAATGTGAATGGCTGATAAAAGGTGGATGAGGAAATGGGTGTGGATGGATGATGAGAAGTGGATGGAGTAGTTGGTTTGAAGTAGGATAATGGGTAAAAGATGGATGAGAAAAAAAGTTGGTAGTAGGTAAAAAAAAAGTGGAAGATGGATGTAGATGAATGGATGACATGGAAGGATGAGAGAGGTTGATGTGGATGTTTGGGGAATTGGATGTAGATGAATAATGTGACATAAAAGGTGGGTGTGGGTGGGAAGGTAGACGTGGATGTATGATGAAAGAGAAGGTAGTTGAAAAAGTAGAAGCGAAGGATGATGATAAGAGAGAGGTGGAAGGTAGATTTGGATGTGTGGATAGATGATGGATATTGAGGACTGGATGTGGATGTGGGTGAGAAATGGGTGTGGATGGCTGATGAAAGAAGGAAGGTGGACGCTGATGAAGGTACAGTGAGATAGGGTGAGGGAGAGGAGAGAGAGAGAGAGAGAGAGAGAGAGAGAGAGAGAGAGAGAGAGAGAGAGAGAGAGAGAGAGAGGAGAGAGAGGAGAGAGAGGAGAAGAGAGAGAGAGGAGAGAGAGAGAGAGAGAGAGAAGAGAGAGAGAGAGAGAGAGAGAGAGAGAGAGAGAGAGAGAGAGAGAGAGAGAGAGAGAGAGAGAGAGAGAGAGAGAGAGAGAGAGAGAGAGAGAGAGAGAAAGAGAGAGAGAAATGATACGAATTGAGATGGTGGATATACGAAGAGAAGTAAAATGAGAGAGGGGGGGGGGGAGAGAGAGAGAGAGAGGAGAGAAAGAGAGAAAAGAGAGAAAGAGAGAAAGAGAGAAAGAGAGAAAGAGAGAGAGAGAGAGAGAGAGAGAGAGAGAGAGAGAGAGAGAGAGAGAGAGAGAGAGAGAGAGAGAGAGAGAGAGGAGAGAGAGAGAGAGAGAGAGAGAGAGAGAGGAGAGAGCAGAGAGAGAGAGAGAGAGAGAGAGAGAGAGAGAGAGAGAGAGAGAGAGAGAGAGAGAGAGAGAGAGAGAGGGAGGGAGGGAGGGAGGGAGAGAGAGAGAGAGAGAGAGAGAGAGAGAGAGAGAGAGAGAGAGAGAGAGAGAGAGAGAGAGAGAGAGAGAAGGAGAGAAAGAAAGAAAAGAATGAAAAAGAAAACGATTAGAAAATAGACAGAAACAGATACAAACAATCAGATAAAGATCGATACAAACAAGCGAACCAAGACCAACGGAGCCAAACAGACACAAACAACCCAAAACAACAACAAACCCGAACCCCTTCTCACCAGAAGTCCTTGGGCGTGCCGAGCCAGGTGAGGGGAATGAGGCAAGTGCCGACGATGAGGACGAGCGCGCAGGTGGAGAGGACGGACTCCATGGAGGCGATCATTTGCGAGATGAGGATGATGTAGACGGTGGTGCTGCCGTAGAGGTTGATGATGACGGACACGAGGGCGGCGCGTCTGGGGGGAGGGCAGGGTGGGGGTAGAGGGGTGCGGTTGCGGATCGGTTGCTTATAGCAGGGATAGATAGGTAAATACAGATATAAATATACATACTGTGTAGACATATACGCACACGCATGCAAGCAAGCACGTAAGCACACACACACACAAACGAGAGCGAGTTGTTTGTTATCCACATTTTGAACATAATTGCTGAACGAGTCGAAGAAAAATTAAAAGAAAACAGTATTTTTGTTCCAAGAGTTATTTCCTTGTTTACATATCTATTTCTTCATTTACACATTATCATTATTATCATTTTGATCCTGCAGGCGCGTCTCTCACATACATACACATATGCGCACACAGATAAAGTAAAGGAAAGTATATAAATAAGCAAAGGACCCTCAAGGTACGGTCAGACTATCCATAGATTCGTGAAATCCAGCGATTTTTATGGCCATCAATGGACTCAATCCACTTTACTTTCGCCCACAAGATGCGATGGATACCCGTTCGTTACCCATTCGTCCATCGATGGACGAATGGAAATATTGCGCAAGTTGAGACTCTAGTATGCATGCATAAATTTTCATTTCAAAGCATGAATATTATCATATATTTCAAATCATTTAAAATTATTCATATTTAGTTTATATCAATATTTACATTTAGATTTAAGCTAAGATACGAATGAAAAGTAAAAACTAAAGCAATGACAGTGATTTTCATTTGACTGACGAATATAAACAAGTGCGTAGCCGCCAACTTCAAGTTGAAACCGCAGATCACGTGAATATTCGAAGCGTGGAATTCTGAAGCCATGTACTCTCTCCTAGAAAAGGATAGAGCTCCAAAAACATGAAAGAATAGCAAGATATATTGCGGGATCCACAGCAAGTTTCTGCGGTCAGTGTGAACACCACAGATGGGTTGGTTGGTTCGAGCCCCCAGAATCGCTGGATTCCATTGAAATTTCTGGGTAGTCTGACCGTACCTTTAGTACAAGAGACAGCAGAGCGGCCGCCCGCGCCTTCCCGAGCACCCACCTGCCGGCGAGACCGAGAGCCCGGAAGGCGATCTCCATGTAGGGCTGACGGATGGTCTCCTTGTACTCCGGCCAGCGCTCCTCCAGGATCAAGCGGCAGCGGCCAAGGCGAGTCGCCGAGAAGGCCACACTCCCGCAGAAGAGGATCATCATAGCCACGCCCAGCCAACCTGCCGAGGGGCGTTTGGGTTGAGAGTTGTGGTTGAGTCTTCAGGTGAGGGGTTCATTGTGGTTGGAGGGGCATGCGCGAGGTTTATTATGTGTTTCTATGTGCTTAGGTCTATCCATCCATCTATCTGTTTAGTATTCTTTTAATTCTCTCTCTCTCTCTCTCCCTCTCTCTCTCTCTCTCTCTCTCTCTCTCTCTCTATCTCTCTATCTATCTATAAATCTATCTGCTATCGCCCCCCCTCTGTGTTTCTCCAATCATGTAATAAAAAATCAAAAGTGAATTCACATCATAAACACCAACAACCAAAAATTATTATTTTTAAGTTACCATCGCGTTTCCTTCACTCCGCTCTTTAAAGCGGCTAGAAGAGAAACTAAATATTCATTTTGTCCATTTCGGCAGAGCTTGGTTTTAACTTGATAGCTACATCTACTCAATCTACTTGATCTGACTTACTCTAACTGTGTGAAGAGAGTGATGGGGATGGGTGTAGCTGTGCATGGAAGAGAGAGAGGGAGAGAGAGGGAGGGAGAGAGAGGGAGGGAGTGAGGAAGGGAATTGGGGAGGGAGTGAGGAAGGAAAAGGGGAGGGAGAGAGAATTTGATGAATAATAATTCATAAAGGGATAAAGAGAGAGAGAGAGAGAGAGAGAGAGAGGAGAGAGAGAGAGAGAGAGAGAGAGAGAGAGAGAGAGAGAGAGAGAGAGAGAGAGAGAGAGAGAGAGAAATGATTGCTCAAGTTCCGGATGGCTTGCAATGTACTGGATGTTATGGCAATTGCTTTAAGTGTGGAAGAAGGATAACTAAACTTTTCTGGACTTTTCTGAAATCAGAATGGTATAGCAACTATAGGAAAAGGAAATATTGATAGATAGATAGATAAAAAGATACATATTGACTGACTGATATACAGATAGACAAATCAATAAACAGAAATTGATAGATCGATTGACATGTGTATATATACATATATATAAACGTGTGTGTGTATACACACACACACACACACTCGGTATATATATACACACACACACATACACACATATGTATGTATGAGAGAGAGAAGAGAGAGAGAGAGAGAGAGAGAGAGAGAGAGAGAGAGAGAGAGAGAGAGAGAGAGGAGAGAGAGAGAGAGAGAGAGAGAGAGAGAGAGACAGAGAGAGGAGAACAGAGAGAAAGAGAGACAGACAGAGAGAGAGGAGAGAGAGATAGCGACAGAAAGACAGACCAAGAAACAAACAAAGACAAACAGACAAAGAAAGGAAGACAAACAGCCAGCCAGACAGGCAGACCCCCCCCCCCCCAACCCGCACTCACTCGTGTCGGCGACGGCTCGAGGGAGCGCCAGGAACCCCGCGCCGGCCATCTGCGCCACCAGGAAGAACGAGGTCATCCGATGCTGAGGCCCGTGCGGAGGACCAGCGAAGGGTCATACTGCGTGCTGACGAAGGCGAGGCAGAAGGAGGGAAAGCAGAGGGTTATTACCGAGGTCGAGGTGTGTGTGTTTGGGGTGGGTGGGAGAAATGTTTTATTTTTTAAAGATTTGTTTAAAAGGTTAGGGAAGCAATATACATACATACATACATACATACATACATATAATATATATATATATATATATATATATATATATATATATATATATATATATATATGTGTGTGTGTGTGTGTGTGTGTGTGTGTGTGTGTGTGTGTGTGTGTGTGTGTGTGTGTGTGTGTGTGTGTGTGTATGTGTGTGTATATATATGTGTATAATATATAATATATATTATATATATATATATATAATATATATATATATATATATATATATATATATATATATATATATTATATATATACACACACACACACACACACACACACACACACACACACACATACATACCATATACATATATATATATATATATATATATATATATATATATATATATATATATATATATATTATATATGTGTGTGTGTGTGTGTGTGTGTTGTGTGTGGTGTAATATATATACACACACACACACACACACACACACACACACACACACACACACACACACACACACATATATATATATATATATATATATATATATGTATGCATGTATGTATGTATGCTTGTATACATGCGTGTATATCGCATCACAAGCTGGTTAACTACGCACACCTTGTATATTAATTCGCTTTGGAAATAATCTCTTTATCTTTTTACGTATCTCCAAATAAGAACAGTTGTCTGACTTTGCTTGAATCATTTTTATGTTCTATGTCAAAATGGCTTTCAGTCAGAAAATGAATGTAGTGATTATTATACTGTGAGCAAATAAAATGTATTGTTAATACACAATTTACCTAGATTTACAAAGAAGATATAATTGTGAATATGATTTATGTGGGGATTGTATTTTTATTGCCTGTTATCACTAACTATGAATGTATTAAGACAAAAAAGAAGAAAAAAATCATCACAAATGACGTGATCACGATTTCGCTCTTCATTATCTAACCAGTTTCATCCCAAATAGAAAAATGCAAATAAAAAAGCTCCATAAGATTGTAAATTTAATCTATATTAAGAAAAATCCCAACATACAAGACAGCATCAGACTT